CCCTGCACATATTTGCAAAAAGTATGTAGTACTTTTGTACTTTTTTTGGTAATTCTTTTGGTTGTTAAATAAAATAAGCATGTGTATGATTTCCGGGGGGGGGACACATCTTGCAGAGGTAAGGTGGGGGGGCCCTGGGACCCAGGAATGTGGGTAGGACACCTGTTGGGTCCCTGCACGCCAGGTCTGGAGCCCTCTAGTAAGAGTCGGCACTTCCCCTGCACGGGAAGACGGCACCCCCACATCCCAGGGACCCCTCTCTGTTCAGGCACCTGGCACACCCACCCACCCGCCAGGACTGGCAGGAGTGAGACAATCTACTGCTACTTCCTGGAGCAGGACAGCACAGGTGATGCTGCATGGTCCTTGGTGTAAAAGAAAAGCAACATCCAGCTTCCCCTCCTTCCCTGAAACTGCCCCTGATGGCCTGAGCCACCCACCTCCCCAGGCAGTCCATGCTTGTGAAGCGCAAACACCATCCAGGCTCTGCCAGGGGCCAGGAACTTGCATCAGTCTTGTGCCCGGCTACAGCCCCATAGCTGACCCGCTATGGGGGCAGAAAAGAGGAGGAGGGAAGAAGAGAGCTAGTTTGTCACCATTTATTTCCTGACCTATTTCCTGTAATTTATTTCCTTTCTCCTACAATCTCTCCCCACCCCCCCACCCAGCCCTGCCAGCCCCAACTAAACATGACTCATTTGCTTGGTTTTCTTTGAACTATTGTTGTCCGCCACATCCTTCAGCAGCTCCGAAAATGAGCCTTCCGCAGGGCTCCCCAAGTGAGGTCGCGCCGGCGTGGGCAGACCTGCCACTCGCTGCCCACTCACCCCTGCTCACCTGGACCCGTCCTCCTGCTAGTTCTGTCCAGAATCTCAGCCTTTCCTCTTGGTGTTCTCGCTCGCTTCCTGGCACGTATCCTCCAGGAGCTTCCTACGTGTCTTGAAATCTTTGTCTACCTTTACAGCTAGTGACAGAATTCGAGGTGGAAACAACCTTCCCTCCACACATCTGGGGAGGGGGCTGTCTCCTGCCACAGGACTGCCCCCTCCCCGAGTCTCAGGGCACCTGTGCTTCCCTGGGAAGGGGGGGCTCTCCTTGACCCTGGGCTCTAATGCCCCTTGGCACAGCCTTGTTCCTCTGCAGGGCCCTTCCAAACTAGCCCTACTCCTTTTAGGTCTGGAAAATGCCCCCTTTTAGAAATTTTTTCCCTAGAGTTTTCTCTGTTCTTTAGCTTTTCTCCCATCTAGATATTCTATTTTTAATTTCCAAGAATTATTTCTTATTCTGGATTCTTACAGAATCGGGTCTTTTTTAAACTGATGCAGTACTTTTGGTGGCTTTGGAGTTATGGGCTGGAAGTCGTTCGGGCTCGAAGATGTTTCTCCTGGTTCCTGAGTCGCTATTTCACAACCGTGACATGAGCTTAGCTGCACCCACCCGAGTGAGGCACTGCCCTCAATGGACCTGTTCTCGGGGGGTGGGTTTCTCTGGCTTCCTGCCCGGGAGGTGGGGGGCCTGCCTGCAGGAAGCCTCCCTTACCCCCCCTGCCCATGTCCTCCTGCACCACCCCACACTCTGGCAGCTTCTCCCTGGAACCTGGGGCCAGGCGTCTCCTGAGCCACGTGACCCTGAAGCTTTGAAGGCAATTTCAAGAGGAACTTTGCTCTCTGAAAACTCTCTGAATTGTGAGCAGCTAGTCTGATCCTTTTTTAAACAAGGTGAGGCCCAGTCTGCCTGGCCTGGAGTGTCACCCAGTGGGAAGGCTGGATGGGTCAGATGTGCCCTCTGTGCTCCCTCGTGCCCCTGCATGAACGGGGCGAGGTCCAGGGTGCCCTGTGTCCGAACTAAAGCCCAACCACCACTTATCATGCAACCTTGGCCAAATTATGGGCCCTCTACAGGTCTTCATTTTCTTACCCAGAAAACAGAGAACTACAGACAAATGGAACAGAGAGCCCAGAAATTAACCCTCACATATATGACTAACGATGTTTGACAAAGGTGCCAAGACCATTCCATGCGGGAAGGACAGTCTTGCCAGCAAAAGGTGGTGGGAAAAACGGATACGCACATGCAGGAGAAGAACGTTGAACCCCGACCTAACACCATGCGCAAAAATTAAATAGATCAAAGACCTGAAAGGAGAGAGAAAACGCTGAGAAGAAAACACAGGGGAAAAGCCTCAGGACACTGACATTTCTCCGAGGATGACATGTGAATGGCCAGTAGCATCCGAAAAGGGGCTTCATGTCATCAGGGATACAGAAGCCAAAGCCACGGTGAGATCCCACCTCACACCCAGGATGATTGCGCCCCAGACAGTGGCTTCTGGCAAGGATGTGGGGCAGACGTGCTGAAGGGTGAGGAACGGCACGCGGGGACATGGCACGAGGGACCAGGTACTGTGGGCTGCGGGGCAGCTGGCTTGCGTCCCTCACGAGGTTTCCCCAGAGGTGCCCTGCCTGCTCCATCCCCAAAGCCTGTGTCCAAGCGGACCCAGGGCTCGGCTTGAGCAAAGTGACCAACAGAGAGCCGCCCAGGTCAGTCTTAGCTCCTGTCCTGCCCTCAGACTGTGAGCTGCCTGCTCTGGTTTCTTTCTGTACTTGTAGCACACACCTGGTGTACCACGTCCATTCCATACTGGTGTGCCTCTGGGGTCAGGCGCTAGGGGAGGCACCCAGGGCAGGTGTCCCTCCATGGTGTGACTGCACTGCCCCCGTGTGGCCGAACGGGAGCTTGCGGGGCTGCATGTGGCTCCCAGTGCAGACATCCGGGTGGGAAGGTTTTCTCCCGAACTTCAAGTGGCCTGGCTCCCCACTGGAGCCCCCAAACCTCTTAAGCCCACCTGCCTCCCGGGCCTTCCAGAAACACAGCCACATACTCACCACCGCAAGACACCATAGTTGTGACTTGCTGCCCAGGTTCCCCACTGACCACCACCTCCCAAACTACCCACTCCTCACCTCACCTCCACTGACCAGACCCTTGGCTCCCACGGGGAGGGCTGGTGCCGCACACCTGAGTGCACCGGTACCACTCGAGTGTATCTGTACCACACCCAAGTGCACCTGTATGACACACCTGAGTCTACCTAGAGCACACACCTGAGTGCACCCGTACCACACACCTGAGGGCATCTATATCCCACACCTGAGTATGTCTACACCACACACTTGGGGTACCTGGTTGGCGCAGCTGGTTAGGAATCCAGCTTATGATCTCAGGGTTATGGGATCAAGTCCTGCTCCAGCTCTGTGCTGAGCGCGAGCCTGCATGAACCTTTCTCTCCCTCTGCCCCTCCCCCCGTGTTCTCTTTCTCCCATAATCTAATATGTAAATACTACAAATAGATACTGATAAATCCTAATAAAATAATTCTAAGTATTTAGAATTCTAATAAAATATATTGCAGTAAGATGTATCTTAAAAAGTACATACACACACACACATACACGTCCCATACCTGAGCACCTGGGCGCCCGCAGCACACACCTGAGTGCATCCTGCTCTGTACTGCACACCAGAGAATATCGGTAGTGTACCTGACTGTCTACACCACATGCCTGAGTGCATCTCTACCGTGCACTTGGGTTTCTCTTCCCCATGCTGTGAAGCACTGAGAAGCCACACTTTCATTAGAGGAAGAGCCCCTCCTTCCTAACCAGAGAACATGGGACCCTTACCCATCCCCACTCAGATCATTTCTTTGCTAAAATTCTGCATGCTTTTCCTTCCCCGCCCGGACCCAGGAGCGCAGGGCTCATCACACATTTACACAGTTCCCTCTCTGTGGCTGACACAGCGAAGGAACATGTCTCTCCGAGTCCACTGTGTGGCCTCCATGGAGCTTAAGCACAGCCGTGCACCGGGGGCAGGTGCCTCGGCAAGGCCGAGAGCTGCTCTGCGGCCAGCTTGAGACGGGGTCTGGGTGCAGAGAGAAGGGAGGGGCTCCCGTGTGCACAGGGCGGAACGCGGCAAGGCTGATGGGCTGCCCTACAGGCCAACCTCACTCCAAGCTTGAGGTCTTTGCAGGCCTGGGTCAAGGGAGAAAGGAGTGCAGCATCTTCCAAAGGCACCTCTTGTAGCCACGACGTAGGGAAGGGGAGCGGGTGGGCAGCAGAGGGGTGCATGGCTTGGGGGTGAGGACATTAGCTGGGAGACACTGAGCCCAAGATGTCTAGGGGAACCCAGAGAGAAGCCACCTGAGCACCTGAATGTGTGCGCCTTGGGTCTGACAGCCTCTTGGGAGTCAGAATTGGGGATGTGGGGTCAGATGGTGTTCACTGAAGTACAGCTTGGGGTCACGTGCTGGTGCTGTGTCAGGAGCACGTTGACGCCTGGAGACACCTCCCGTGGGCCATCCCCCGCTGAGCTCACAAAGCTGGCCCACAAGCCTCACAGATTCACAGAGTCTTTACCCCCACCCTACATACTGTCGTCAGTGGTGTCCTGACCTCTCTAATCAGATCCCAGGTAAACCCAGACATGGCCGCCTCCTAACCAGCACCGGCCCCCAACGAGACCCCTGTGGGGCACCGATTTCAGAAGTCCCAGACCCACTTATAAATCCCTAAACACCCATCCGAATGTCTTCACGACTGCCAACCCAAATTCTGGTTCGGGGAAGCACACTTAGGAGAGGAAAGAGGCAGAAAACAGCCGAAAGCGATGCCCACGAGGGAGAGGGTGAAGCGGCTGGCTGTGTGCGACAGGCGAAGCGGATGACCCTTCCGCTGCCTGCACCCCACCTTCACGCTGGGAAACCACAACTGACAGATCATCGCAGGACAGGCCTCGATCATCGTAAATGACAGAAACACACACACTTCCAGACCAAATCTGGATTTCTACGTTCGAAGAAGTCTTCATGAAATTTAATCTAGCTCCTGTCACAAAGGACACGGTACCCTTGGGTTTCCCTTCAGAGGAGTCAGGTGGGCACCCAGAGGGCGTCCTGGGCCCCCGTGAGCTCCCACGTGCGCGCATCTGAGGCAGACCGGGACGGGGCACATCTGCTTTATTGCTTATGCTGCATATTCAAACAAATACAACAAACCCCGTCTTAAAAACGTAAGGCACATGAAAGCCTTTGTGCAATTCCGGATTAGTTTTAAATTCCTATTGGCTAATGACAGTATTTCCCCTATAGACCTGGAGCCATCTGGAAATGACCATGATGAAGTTTCGCATGCAGGATCCCTGAAACATTATCGTGTCTTACCTCATGGCACAGCTGAACAGCCTCAATCAAATGTCTGTATGTGAATAATGATTACAACCATTGTTACGTTTGCAAAACCTTCCCAGCTTATGCACATATGTACAGTCGGGTCCCCAGACGTTAATTATACAAAATCTAAAGGAAGAAGAACGGCATCTTGCTGCATCTGTGTCCTGTCTCCTTCAAGGGAGATTTGGCATTTTTAGTCTTCCTTCCACAAGTCCCGCCGCTATCTGCGAAGGCCAGTGTTATACGATGCTGAAGACCATGGACAGATACTGCTCATAGGACACCTGAATCCAGCCGTCCTGATCCGTATCGTAGCGCCGGAATATATCGGTCAGCCTCTGGGAGAGAGAGACAGGCAGTTAGATCGCGATATGTATGAAACAGAACGAACGAAATGTACCTAGCAAGAAGACGTTTAGGAACGAAAGTCACCCATGTCTCCAGACCCCCAAGCCCTGATGGAGAGCTGGGCAGGGAGGCATGGGTGGGTAACCCTGAGCAGCCTCAGGCCTGTCCATCAGGAGAGCGCTGCGGCCTGGTGGGACAGCAAGGGGAGGGAGGATGAACGCGGGAAGCTGGGTAAGAGGTCAGGGGGTGGGCTGTAGCCCCAACTCAACGACACACCACAGCCCTGGTCCTGGTTTCCCAAGTGGTCCAGTGCTGAGCCTGGGTCCTCCCTTCCTACTCTAAGACCAACCTCGTGGGGGCTCTTCCTCGAATGCTCACCACCGCTCTGGCCACTTGCCACCGAGGACACAGGGAAACCAGCCCGGACTTGGGCCCCTCCCTTACACGCAGCAGGTGAAGGCCCAGACACAGACCATGGGAGGTAGGTCTCCTTGTACCGGCCTCAGGGTCCCTCCCGGCCACCCCACCCATCCAGAAGGCTCTGCTTTAGTCTGTTCACAAGCTCGATCCCCCCACAGCAGGTCAGGGGCAGAGGGAAGAACCCTGCACCCAACAGCAGGGACACCCAGATGAGGGCCGCCCCAGGTGAGGGGCACCCGGCAAGCACAGCAGGCCCGAGACTCCTGCGTGACAAAAGGGAGCAGAATACAATTCCTCAGGACAGGAGCGGACAACAGTGCCCAGTTCACGGCGAGAGCAGGCTGGAGCCCGGCCCTCCAGCAGCAGGTGAGACGGGGTGCCTGACCCAGCCGACCGTCTGCTGGCGCGTCAGCCGGGCCCTCCAGCGCACGTGAGACACTCCCGTCGCACCAACTACAGAAACACCCGCGGCAGGGAACTCCCCAGCGGCGGCGGCCGGGGCGGCGGCAGGGAACTCCAGCTGAGAGAACGATGGGCAATTCTTCTTTGCACTTCAGTTGTATTTTCCTACAGTTTCTACAGATTTTCTTGTTCTTTTGCAAAATATCGTTTCTTTTTGTAGAAAGACAGATGAAAGAAAAATTTTGGGGGTGCTTTATTGTGGCCTGCAGCTTTTCTCTGTCCTGTGTTGAGGGTCACTCGGGAAGGGTGGGTGGACCAGGGACCGGCAGGCAGGCCTCCGGCTCAGCACGGAACCCCCCGGCCGTGGCTGCTGCCTGACAGACACCCTCCTGGAGGGGCCGATCCTCGGCCTTGAGGTGTGCGCAGGCACCAGGCAAGCTTCTCGTGGGACTCAGATCGGCTTACCTCAGTTACCGAAAGTCTACACTCGACCTCGGCTTGAGAAGAAATGTAAGGATCAGGTGTTTCCTCACGGGACACAACCTCAAATGAAAACTCTAACCCGAGCGCACCTCCGACGCAGGCAACGAGACTTCCACGCCGCAGCTTCTCCTCAAGTGTTCAGACCCCACTGCCAGTGGGGTGGGATGAGACGGGCAAGGCTCTCCCCATTTCCGGAGCCGAAGCTCGGATGTTAACAGACCTGGCTCTCCGGTGAGGCCTCGAACAGCAGGGGCCGGGCTGTTCCCAGACTCACGGTACTTAGCCGGCCACAGAAAGTTCACTTTCACTGACCTATTTCACTTTCACTCTCATGGGAAAAAATCCTGAGGAAGTTTCTCAGAATTCCAAATTATATTAAAAAATCTCAGGCTATTCACATCTCTCCGGGGACTCGAAAGCTGACAAGATATCACCCCAATCTGGATTCGAAGATGGAATCTGTGTGACAGTAAGGGCTTGGGGGTGTTAGGGTCACAGAGGGATGACATCAAACTGTCCGCCAGCGGGTAACTGCTGAGTCTGAGGGACGGGCACACCAGTTCGTCCTACGTCAGTGTGTTTTAAAAATCTGTCACAATAAAAATCCGTCACAATAAAAACCTGGAAAGCCATCTAAGAGCTTATCAGTTCACTGCATTTCTAAGCCTAAATCTGTGTAACCCGGATCCTGACCCAGACACAGGAGCGGGGGGCCTACGTGGGCCCAGCGGCACAGGTTCGATCACCCCTGCCCTCGTCTCTGGGAGGGGCGCTCGTGCCAGCAAGTGCACCGAGCTCCCGCAGGTACAGAAGCAAGACTGCGGGAGGGAAATGGCGGTGCTGGGGTCAGTGGGACCCGTGATCTCCCATCCTTGGGGCTCCCCTCACACAAAAAGGCAGGGCACAGTCAACATTTCGACAGAAAATTGACCCATTTCCTCGGAAGGAAAACACAGCAAAATACCAGAGTATACATGCAAATAACCCACTCGATTTAGAAAACGTGACCTCATTGGAAGGGACCTTGAACACAGGGTTGGGAGATGATCCCTGGAGCAGTCGAAACCCACGTAACTACTAACAGCTTTCCATGGACCGGGAGTCTTATCGATAACAGACTAACGTCAATTAACACTTGTTTTGTGCGTTATGTGTATTATGTACGGATTCTCACAATAAAGTAAGCTAGAGAAAAGAAAATGTTATTCAGAAAATTCTAAGGAAAACACGTGTTCAGCACTATGCCACACTTATCAGAAAAAGTCTGCCTATGAACGACTGTGTGGTTGGGCCGTATGTTGTTCAGGCTCAGCGGCACTTCCACGGGGAGAAAGAACACTACTGGCCACAGCCCCCGGAACAGACTAGCAACTCTTCGACCAACGGGACTAACCTGCACACCCTCCGGCAGCAGACGCCACTCCCTTCAGTTGCTACCGCAGAATGGCACTCTGCCCTCTCCCTCTGCTTCCGTGGCTACGCCCCGCCTGCCGCACCGGCCAGCGCACAGTGAGCCCCCACGGAGCCCCGTTACCTGCAAGACGATGCAGCCCTGGATGAAGTCGTCAAAGGCGATCTGCCCCCGTCCTTGTCTGTCAAACTTGCGAATGAGGATGTCGTGAAACTGGTCGGACAGCCGGTACCCTTGAAGAGGAGAATGAGGATGAATGGAGGGCCAGGAGAGTGGACGCTCCCGTCAGCCCCCACGTCCTCCTTCTGACAGGCCCCACAGCCTCTGACATCAGCAGACGACAAACGATCGAGGCAGGGGTGGGAGACGCGAGGCGCAAACTCGTTCACATGCCCTCTGGAACCGCGGTCCCCATCCGCAGTCCCGTGGACGGCCGGCGGGAAGACACCCCCTCTTCCTGGAAGGCGGAGTGCTCCCCGGGGCCAGCGCTTGCAGGCGCTGAGGGTCACAGCTGTGAGCTCACTCATTTGCGTCACGTATACTCACCCCACAGCGCTGCACCCCAAACACCGTCCCGCAGGGCCGCCCGGTTTCCTTGTGAAGTTTTCATTTTATAGACAGTTTCATTTTACATGTGAAAGAATGTATCGCTGAAGGCTTCCAAATAAACACAACGTAAACTCAGGGAAGGAGCTGACCCACCGGCCCGCACGCCCTCTACGAATCAGCAGGGGCATCGGGGAGGGAAAGACCACCAGGAGCCAGGCAGCCTCCCGAAGTTCACAACCACTCAAGGGCCATTGAATGTTATGACAAAGAGTCACTGATTCCACCTTCAACTTACTGAGTGTCTTGAAAAGGTCTCCAGCAGGGAGGTGGTTCTGAAGACACGGGGACACAGCGGCCACTCACCTGTGGGACACCCCTCGGGACCACTCTAAACAAGGACACCTACTTCCTTCCCTCCTAATCCCACTACCTGTGTGACTGTGGTGTCCTTACTTATTCAGGAGACAAGATCCTGGGGCCAAAATATTTTTACTGCTTTTCCATCCTGTTGGAATCTTTGCGAGGACACATGTACACCTATTATCTGAGTGAATTTCACAGTTAATGATTGCAGAAATACTTATTTTTCTAAGAAAGAGACTCAAACATGCACACACAGGACAGTCCCTTCCGGAGTGGTCAGCATACCCGGTGCATCTGTGACTTAAATCCATCCTCCCTGCCCGTGAGAAGACAGGATCCCTGACTCAAAAAAAAAGAAAGGCAGCAGGTCCGGGACGGGGGTCCCCTGTGGACAGGTAAGGAAGCGGCCCAGGCTGGCAAGGGCGGAGCTCATCCGGGTGGAGAGAGCAGACACCAGCCATCGCTGCGGCGTCTCCGGCCCAGACCTAACCCTACAGGATGGACCTCCACAATCCCTGCAGACCACAGAAGCAACTTCTATCATCCCTGGGATCAGCTTCCGACTCCCCTGGTCCTCAGTATCACTGTGGTGAGAACCAGACCAACACAAGTCAGACTAGAAAAATGAACGATGAAGAGAGACATTTACATGAGAAGCAAAGTCTTCTCTAAGAGTTTCCATCAGTGAAAATCCATGTCACGATAACCCTAACCCTCATAAATTAAGAGGAGGTGCCCTCTGGAAATGCAAATCAGAACCCCAAGAAGGTGGCTCACGTGTCAGGATGGCTGTGATCGGAAAGACTGAAACACCACATGCTGGCAAGAGTGTGGAGAAGAGAGAGCCCCATGCACGGTGGGAACCCAGATGGGCACAGCCAGCCCTGGACACAGTACAGGCACTCCTCAGAAAGCTAGCAACAGAGCCACCACGGATCCAGTAATCCCGCTACTGGGATTTACCCCAAGAAAACGAACACACTGACTCGAAAAGGCATCTGCGCCCCGCGTTCACCGCAGCACTGCCTCCAGCAGCCAGGGTACAGACGCAGCCCGCGGCACGACGGCCTGAGGGACGGAGACCTTGCCGCTGGCGGCAATATGGAAGGACCTGAGTGTGTTACGCTAAATGAACTAAGAGAGAGACAAATACCAGATGATCTCACTTATGTGCGAAACCTAAAAATAAAAAGAGCAAACGAAACGGAACCAGACTCGTAAGTACAGAGAACCACCAGTGGCCAGAGAGGAGGGGGGGCAGGTGAAGCAGGTGAAGGGGACCGAGAAGCGCCAGCTTCAGATTGTGAAATAAGTCCAGGAGGAAAAGTACAGCACAGGAACAGACTCGTAACGCTGCGGGAGCTGTATGGTGACAGACGGCGACGGCACAAGCCGCAGCGAGGGCTGAGTTATGCACCTGAGACTGACGTAACTTACGTCAACTGCGCTTCAGTTAAATGGAAAAAAAAAAAAAAAGGCAGTGCCCCCCCCCGTATGCTGCTCCCCCAGCCTGTGACCCCGGTTGGGACTGGCCCTGTCAGCCTGGACGTGCAGACACAGGGCCACACCCTGAGCTTAGGAGAGCAAGGTTCTCTCCTGACAACTAACAAGCCTAGGAAGGGGAGACATCAGAGCGGCCCTGATGATCCCGCGAGTCACCAACCGCCTCCTCCCAGCACCCCGAAATGAAGGCACACCTTCCCAAGCCCAGATGCTAACCAGTGACCTCTCTGCAGCAAGGGGCAGACCTGGAACGGGGCATCAGCCCACGTCTATAAGCAGCCAGCGGCATGAAAAGGCTGGGGGCTGCCCGCGGGCCTGCTGGGACCTGGTGCAGACGGACAGCTCATTTTTAAGGTGGGTCCGAGGCACTGATGTGGTGAGCAAACAACCACACATGGCAGGGACGCGAGTAAAGCATGTTGGGGGGACACCGCACGGGCTTCGCACTCCTTGGCCCGCAACGGAGGACAAAGCAAACGTAGCACCAGGCCGGTAACGGCTGCGAGGCGAGGCGACCGGATGCAGGGCTGTCCACTTTGGTAACGTTTCCATCAGAACACACCGCGCTGGCCTAGCGGTTGCCAGAGCTTACACGGAGGAGGGGGGGCTGCCCGTGCCTCACCTTCCCACAGCGGGGACTGCGCTGCGTGGGGGCAAACGCCTCACGCGCTTCCTTCCTTCAGCTCTCTGCACCTGGCACACGGTGCCTACGCGCCCTGAGTTTAGAGAAGGGATACGGGAGCTCCCGCAGCCAGTGTGTGGCCTGTGAGAGTCACCCGGTGAGGCCAGGGCTGAGCAGGAATCTTTGCTTCAGTTCCTACTGAAAATCTGCTCCCATTACTAGCGTGGAAAGGATAACAATGTCCCTTTTTGACAGAAGGCCTCAGAGACCGAGAGCCAGTCCCAGGAAGAGACTGGTTAGAACGGATGGAATGCGGTAGCAGAGTATTTACTTTCTCCAGAAAATGTCTGGAAGTCAGGGAAGAGCCCACGTCAACCAGCCCGGGGAGGCTGGCCAGCTCCTGACCACGAGGGACTGCCCCATGACCTCCACGGCCCTGAAGCCGCAGCAGGGACTCAGGAGGCCAGAGAGGCCGGGGCACTGCCCACCTCAGAGCTCCCACCAGGAGCTCTAAGGACCCAGTGGGCCACTGGCACAAAGGAAAGAGAGGGCTCTGGGCCTGACAACGTTAGTGCCATCCGTGTTCCCTGAAACCTGAGGTCACTTGTCTGTGTAATTCACAGGACCCAGGTTCCGCCCAAGCTGTTCTCGGCCCGGCCAGGCCTCCAGCTCCTTCCATCCCTTCTGTACAGCCCTATCGTCCCCCAGCCTAAGGGCAGAGCAAAGTCAGCTGCGTTCCCAGTCCCAGCGCAGAGAACCTGAGGTCAAGTCCTGCCCTAACCCTGACCCCCATCTAGTGTGCCATGTGAGAACACAAGCTTCCTATGGAGTGCCAGAGCCACTCACTGAACACCAGAGGATTCCTGAGGCAGGAAAGGAAAGAGAAAGAGAAGACTACAGAGTGCATGCCCCACGGAAAAATGGGAGAAGGGCAGAAGTTTACAACACGTTAACAGAAGAACTAAGATGTACTTCGTATTATTACAACTCAAAATACCTAGAAGTTCATTAGTACATTATAATAACAGCGTAGTATGTTAGAGAAAAAAATAGGACCCTATAAACTAACTTGCCTGGTTTTTCTAAAAGGTATTCCTAAGCAGTCTTTAAACAAATGTAGCAGTTTTGTAATAGGGCCCCGGTAAAGAGGGCTGAGTGAGATCATCCCAAACACGCCAGAATTGGGGTGTAATTCCCACGAGCCTCGGACAAGTCCTCCAAGTCTGCTTCCTCTCCACACAGAGAACCCCAGCCTTCTCTCGGACCCGCGCACCAGCATCAGAGGCCCGCTGACCCACTCCGGAAAGGCTGTGCAGACACTGCTGGTGACACGGCACACGCAGGGGCACACGCACTTGAGAACGGGAGCTGGCACGCCCACCAACGCTGTGCCCGAGGCAGGAGCTGGCACTGCCGCTTACGGAATCATGTCTCACACGTACGGACGGTCTTGCCGTGTCTCGTGACGTGTCACAAATAAGCTGCCTGAGTTTATTGTCGCTTATTCACGTGACAGTGTTTCCAAAGCCACCCCATTCTCAATGTACGTGTCCCATCACTCCATTTCACAAACGATAAATGACTGCATAGCTCGTATCTCATTTTGGATGGGAAAAAAAAAAGCACATAAGGTCTCCATGTCAAATATAAGCCTTCATGATACAAACAATATCAAAGTATAAATCTGAATGTCAACAAAAATTTCCCAGTTAAAAAGCCAGTAAATTGGGCGCCTGGGTGGCTCAGAGGGTTAAGCCTCCGACTCTTGATTTCAGCTCAGATCTTGATTTCAGGATCTCAGGGTGCTGGGCTGGATCCCCAAGTCAGTCTCCGCACTGGGCATGGAGCCTGCCGAAGAGTCTCTCTCCCTCTCCCTCTGCCCTCCCCCAACTTTCAAAAAAAGAATGAGTAAACTGGACAAAGTACAAAAACAGTAATGGCACCAAATGACCTCCAAAATGAAATCTGCTACACCATCAAGACAAGTGAATTACCAAAACCTGAGAGTGCTTGCTTGAGCTCGTTCTTGTCGATCATCCCGGAGTTGTCCCTGTCGTAGGTGCGGAAGACGTTCTGCCAATCTGTGATGTACTTCCAGACGCCCGTGAACTCACTGAAGTTCACGCCGGCCTTGTTCTCCCGGTCAAACATGGCTGAGACAGAAAGAATGTGAGTGGTTCGCAGCCGCCGGCCTCTCAAGGTTGGTGGGCTGGGAGCTCAGTGCCCGCACGGCCTCCCCCACGCTTCCCTCGGGCCAGCCCCGTGCTCAGCGGACGCCCGCGTGCTGCTAAGAACGCTCCCCTGCCCAACGGGAGGGCCGGGCCTCCTCTGCCAGGTGGTTACCCAGCCGCAGCCCCCAACTCACATCACACAGCGGCGAGGCACACGGTCAAGAGGAACACAGTGGCGGAGCCCCGAGACACAAAATGCTCGACAGGGAAGTAGCCTCCCCCGACACGCGATGCCCAGAGGGCACTCTTGCTTTGTCAGAGGAACTGGGGCTTCGGAGTGAAGCGGGAGGCTCTGCCCTCCCAGCACCTTGTTCAGCTCCTTCCCTTCTCCAAGAGGACCTACAACCGCCCGGGCAGGCCCACTCCACCGAGAAAGAGACTCCACTGGCTTTACATTCTTGGTTTTTTTTCAGTAAGACCCGCTTTTCATTAAAAAGATCACCCTAGGGGCGCCTGGATGGCTCGGTCGGTTAAGCCTCCGACTCCTGACTCCAGCCCGGGTCATGATCTCAGGGTCGTGGGATCCAGCCGTGCTGCGCTCTGCGCCTGGCAGGGAGTCTCCTTCTCTCCTTCTCGCTCTCTCCCAAATACATACACATATACGTACATAAATAAATACATTTTGAAAAAGAAAAAAAATGAGCCTAAATCAGGTCCAAATATGAAAGAACCTGTAACTGCATTTACATATAATGGCAAAATGGCTTAAACATATGTAAAAATTCCATCTGTACTCCTGCTACCAAGAAAATGACAAATCACTTGGTCTCTTCACGGGGGAAGCCAGCAGAAGAACGAAACAGGAGCGGTCCCGGCTGCTCAGAAGCACACCGTAATTCCGTGAAGGCTCACATAAGGGAAACGCCGGTCGGAAACCGAGCACCGGTGTTTCCACCAGTCAACCACCGTGCAAGATAGGGACGGTGTATGACACGCGCTGGTGCAGTGTGAACACGGGCCCTTCAGAACCGGGAGCTCAAGCACTCGGCTGGGAGGGCAGGGCTAGGGGCCATGGCAGGACAGGGGTCTGCCTGCACCTTTACTTACAGATGATTGACCTGACAGTCACGGGGTTAAATGGAGTCCATGTGCCTGAAAATAAATGACAGGAAAGACAGTCAGCGAAAACCGTTTTCACAGCAATCTCTAAGATTCCAACCCGGAGCGGCAGCAGCTACCGACAGTCACCTGCTACTCAGGGAGACCTGGGCACACGGTTCTCAGCAGGGACACTGTCCCCAGGGGACGTCTCTGGTCGCCATGACCACTGGGGGCTGTAAGCGTGTCGTCGCTGGCGTCCCATCCGGCGCTGCGCAGGGTCCCTCAGGCCCCAACAGACATACACGCAGAGCTGCTGATAATGATACGAGGCCAGAGGCTCGCTCTTGTTTGCTACATGAACAAGATCCGGTTGTACAGTATTTATTTTTCCCAGCGCGGATCCCAACAAGAGGCCTGAACTCGCGACCCTGAAGATCAAGACCAGAGCTGAGCTCAAGCGTCGGACACAAGCGACCGAGCCACCAGGCGCCCTGGTTTTACTGCACTTTAACACGCACGCGGTCTTCCAGGACTGCGGCCGGCACGTAGGTGAGCAGCTTTCTCAAAAACCCACCATAAAACGCCTTAAAAACGGTTTCCTGAAACGAGCACGTGGTGTCCGCCGACAGCACGAGTCACCTCAGCGTGACAGCGGAGATGTCGTCAGGTGCCTGTTGCGAGGGGCCTGCGGAGTCTGACGGAACCACGTGCCGACGGACAACGAAATGTTCAGCAGATACCTTTATGCCCCCAAATCCGTTTTCAGAGCGAGTCATACCATCACCAATTTCTAGACTAAAAACAAAGTACAGAAATATTTTTAATGTGGGGGGAAAGCGGGACGACTGGGAGGCTCAGTGGGTTAAGCCTCTGCCTTCGGCTCAGGTCATGATCCCAGGGTCTGGGGATCGAGCCCCACATCGGGCTCTCTGCTCAGCAGGGGAATCTGCTTCCTCCTCTCTCTGTCTGCCTCTCTGCCTGCTTGTGATCTCTGTCTGTCCAATAAATAAATAAAATCTTAAAAAAAAATGTGGGGGGAAGGCAGTGTCTCTCCCCACGTCCACTGACATAAACGCTCATGTTTCCTTCCACATATCGAACAGTTTTCCCCTCCCCCCGCCCCCAACAGAGACACATCCCCTGACCGCGCCTGAAGCTGTCTTCGGCTCCGGCGTGCGGCCTCCCCGGGGGCGGGCAGGTCTGCGGGGCGGCCCCTGGCGCCCACCACATGGGGCTTCCTGCCGCGGCCGTGCCGGCTCCACTCGGAGCTTCTCTGCTCCTCGAATGTGCCTCCCGGCATGCGCGCACCCCTTAGCTCCCCGCCAGCCGCAGGAGCGCCGTGGCGCTGGGACCTTCCCCGAGCGCCCCACATTCCCCCAGCGCCCCCGGTGAGGACTGCTGTCCCCGAGGGCCGGGCCACCCCTGCGCCGTGCCCGGCACACCCGCGGGGAGGAGCGGTGTCCGCAGGCTCACGCCGGCTGTGCGGCTCGCGGGGGCACCGGCCCGCACGTGAAGCTCCCAGGACAGCCGCCACCGACGACCGCGTGACACAGAACCCGACGGGCAGGAAAATTCTAAGCACGCGGAGGGCCCCTTCTTCGCCGTTTGCTTTTCGCTCCTTCCCACCGAGCCCTGCGAGCACCAAACCGCGACTCCGCAGGACACAGCCCGGCGCTGAGCCTCAGGAGCCCAGAGCACCTGCTGGAGGCTCTCCCTGGCCCTCCGCCCCCGTCTCCCCTCCGTCCGACACAGGCTGCCGAGCCCTCGGCGAGGGGAAGCGAGGGACGCCCCGCAGCCCGCCCGACTGCGAGCAGAGGCATCAGGGGCCGTGTCTGCGAACGCCGCGGCCGGAGACGTTTGAAACAAAAGCGACACAAGCGCCACAGTCCAGTACCGCGCAGACCTGAGCATGTGGTGCTGAGGGCCCGGTGCCACCTCGACAGGCCCGCGGGAGTGCCCAGAGAAGGGGCATCCCTGAGGTGACCCAGAGGAACCGGCGCCCGCGCCTGAGGATTCTGAGTACGGCAGGGGTCCCGGGCTCAGGAGAGCAGCAGGTCATCCCGCGCCACGTCCGGACGCGGAGAGGATGCCCTCTAGCACGACACCCACAGGTGTGCTGCAGGGCTGCCCTGCGAGGCTCGTGGAGGCCGGCTCCTCCGCGCACCCTTCTTGTCACCCACACAGGGCTGGACTCTCCAGGGAAACCAAGGGGTGACAAGAACCAACAGTTAAGGACTGGCTATCACGTGCAGGTCCTGCGGCCGGTTCTCATGGGAGCCCAACGACTCGCAGTGACGCGGATACACCGCAGCGTGGGGACACGTCGTATGTCCTGTGCAGCGCGCCTCAGACGTGCCTGAGTCAGCCGGGGAACCCGAGTCATCTGGAGAAGAGTGTTCTGGAAGAAAGCACGGCACAGTGCTAACACAGCTCCCTGAGAACAGGGCACACTACACACGGAGACGTTTTCCACAAGCCCTGCACCCCCAGTGACCCTCTAGCCCGGATTTTCTGGACCATCCCTAGTTTCAAACATTCCTGTCTGCTCTTCCCAGACACGAACATGGTTGGATGTCAGAACCGCTCGTTTGGAGAAAGTTCTCGTCAGATTTCTACTTAGGAATACGTGATCCCTGTACCTACAAGTCCTGCTTTAATTTCATCTCAAGAGCTAAAGAAAACAGAGGCCTGCCTGTCCATGTAAATCTCGTACACTGTTTCCGCCCACGCCCTGAGAACGGTGCCGCAGCTCTAAGGGGCGACCCTAAGCAAATGGCGACCGCCGAGGGAACCATCTGCAGCTGCTGAGGAGACCATCCCCACCAGAAAGCACTACCGCTTCCCCTCTTTACCCTCAAGCACACAAATGCCTGCCGGACTCCCCATTCTCAAGGGGAAAAGCCCATTCCGCTTTGTGGTAACGTAGTCTTCTACCCTCCAAAGAGTTTGTTCTTGAAATTATGTCCTGTTGACCACAAGCGTAAACAGTGGGTTCAGTGAGCGGCTGAGGGTTACGACTTCATGACACGCAACATTTCCACAACTGAGATACCAAACTACTTGAAATCTTTCGGGACAAATAAGTAAATAAGTAAATAAAATTTTAAAATAAATAAAAAATAAAAATCAGACTTTTTAAAACATCATCACTGGTGATGTCTTTCCACTTTACTTCATCAGACGAGGAACTCCCAGCCTTGCTGGGCTTTTCTGCCAACAGAGGTGTGGCAAGTGCTGCAGGCTTGGGCACAGGGCACTGGCACTCGGTGCACAGAATCTGCAAGACTCTGGTTCAGCAAACTCCACACTTCTCCAGTTTTCTTCAACTACAGCTTCAAAGAGCACGACTAGAAACATGGCCTTTCCGAAAAGCAATCTAAATCCTGACCATCAGCATTAAAGATGCCCGTACCCTGGATGTGATAGGTGTTTGAGCTCTAGAAACTGGCTCTGTGAAATCTGGGGTCAAATCACTACAGTATTTACATTAATGAAAACGAGAAACAATCCTAGGGACGATTAGCGAAACACCGTAAGCTCAGTCCGGGCGGACACACTGCCTCCCGGTTCTGTACGTGGCAGATGTGGGATCCAGTGGACTGGGACTTGGCTCAAGGGGGAAAAGGATCTAGACTTCCAGTCTTCCGGTCTTTACACCCAAAGAAACTGGGGCCAGAAGTGCAATGCACCCAAGGTTACAGAGTAACCTGTCAGCAAAGCCAAGTCCACCAGGTCCTAACTCTCTTGTTTCCATCTGGAAGTCCGGCGGGGCGTGTTTCCGGAGAGAGCAGAGAGGTCAGGCTGTCCTCGGCGTCGACAACGCCCTCAGCTCCATGACTCGCGAGGACTCCAGCGCTCAGGCTGTTACAGAGAAAGGACAGAGTAAACTCCACAGGGAAAAGGCACCCGGAGGAGTTCCGTGGTCACCAGTGCTGTCCAGGATGTGCTTCCTCTGCCTGCTCTGAGTTGTAAGGACACATGCCCAGTCACGGCCACCAGGGAAGCTCCCGAGTCTGGAGTCCAGGCTCTCCTGTGGGAGTCCCTCGTGGAAGCTCCAGAGACCCAGAGGGAGAGCAGGTGTTTGCTGTAAGTCAGACTGTTAGTATCGACTCCCGGGCAAGTGGCTGTCGCACAGCTCCAGGCCGCGGGTGGACAAAACACGCTTCTCAGTGTGCGAGTCCAGGACGCAGCCAGCCCTCAAAGTCCCTCCTGGGAAGCAGCAGGTTGTGAACGTGGGCCTGCTGAGCGGCCCTTCCCCACGCGCAGGCAGAAGGGAGCTGAGTGGGCATCGCTAACTGCCCCAGCGGCACACGCAGCAGCAAGCACCCTCGGCCGCAACACCGGGCCTGTGGGGCGGGAGCAGTGCCGGGACCAGAAGGCCAGTCTGCAGGGAACTGTCTGCTTATACGGTCTGCTATCCCACCACTTCTTAATACAGAATCCCCAGGACAGCTGGAACTCTATTCTGATAAAAATATCTTAAAAACAATACATGAACTATTATCTTTTAAAGTCCAGGTATAAAGAATGTCTCCACAAAAGTACCTACATCGGTTACATGAGGGCAAACCTGCAGAGGGACAAAAAAAGAAGCTTGAGCAAAATTAAATTCCTGCAATTCCAAAAAAGAGCATGCAAGGTTTAAAAAAAAAAAAAGGTACCAAACTGAGATAGTTTATGGCATGTGCTTCCAACAGAAGGCAAGAGAACAGTCTTCTGTCTTTCTTCACACCTATTAACCACACACCCCCGAGAGCAGTTTCAGAAGCTTTCCTATGAAACAAGTCTTATAAAGGACTCCGTGTGTGGGACCCACAAGGCCCCTTTCGGAGCGGTTTCAACTACATTTCAGCAGAGAGCACACCAGCACAGGCTTAATTCAAGTGAGAAACCATGGAGGTCTGAAACTTCAGTTTTGCCACCAGTAACACACGAAGTAAAGCAACGTCCTGAAATAGCCTAATATCCCAGGGCGAATACGAAAACAGAAGCCCATTCCCGGGAGAAAAATCCGAAGTCAAAATAACGTCAATCGGGACGCCTGGGTGGCTCAGTTGGTTGGGCGGCTGCCTTCAGCTCAGGTCGTGATCCCGGCGTCCTGGGATTGAGTCCCGCATCGGGCTCCTTGCTCGGCGGGGAGCCTGCTTCTCCCTCTGTCTCTGCCTGCCTCTCTGCCTACTCGTGATCTCTCTCTCTCTCTCTCTCTCTGACAAATAAATAAATAAAATCTTTAAAAAAAAAAAAAAAATAACGTCAAACGCATCAGCTCCCGGAGTGAAGAGGACAAAGACAGGCCCATCTGGTGGCTGGTTTCTGTGTACAGACCACACCTGCACACAGGAGCCCGGCCTGGCCTTCCGTCTGGAAGCGGACAGTCTAGTGGCCAGAGGCAGCTACAGCGGTGGCCACACGGAGCAGACTGCAGAGTGTCAGGGACAAGGCACGATGCCACAGCGGCTCAGCAGCAGGGGCAGGCACATGCCTGCAGGCAGAAAATCTGGAACTCGGGATGGACACGGCTCCAGCTCACACCAACAAAAGGCAGGCCCTCTGCGCGGAAGAACCCATGCAAGAGGTGGACACCCCATGGACACGGGTGGGAAGACACTGGGGCTCAGCGCGCTCAGAGAGCCTGGGAGAAGCCAGCCCCCAGCACGACGCGAGCGGAAGGGCCGAGGGTGCCAGCAACACAGTCTGCGTTTAGATCCGGCCCCACAGCTCGGGAGCCA